TTAACCTTTAACACGACGAGGAAACGTTGAAAAATCCGACGTGTCGGTTGACCGATCGCTCTGAGAGAGAGAGAGAGAGAGAGAGAGAGGAAGAGAGAGAGGAGAGAGGGAGAGAGAGAAGAGAGAGAGAGGGGAAGAGGGAGGGAGAGGGAGGGAGAGAGAGAGAGAGGGAACGTGTTTTCTCGCGGCACACAATGGAGAACTAAGTTCGGCGAGTGCGCGAGGAGATCTGACAGGGAATAATTAAATGAATGAGCGACGGAAATGTAAAAGAGGCTTCAGGATTCTGAAACACTGGCTTACCGGTTTGTTACCACATACACATACACACACACACACACACACACACACACACACACACACACACGCTCGCGCGCGCGCGCGTTCACGCGACGATTCACAAAACAGTTCCGCCACGGTTGTCATTCCGACGAGTGTATCATCGTTTTGTCTTCTTTTCGCATCTTCTCTCCGCTGGACTCTATATCGCGTCGTCGTCGTCGGTGATCATTAAGGGTAGAGCGGCACTTTTGCAAGATGAGATGATAGCGTAACAGAAGAGCATCCAAATACGACATGAAACGCTCGATAAAGTCGAGATAATATGGATGCGTGTTTTCGATCGAAGATAACGAATGGTGCATGTCTCTCGGTGCTTATATTGTTTGAAAATTTCGGGAGATTACACACCAGTGTGAATTTCATCAATTGATTTATATGAACGACAGCGAATCGCTCTGTTGGCTCTTTGCGGCGCGAGGAGACGCAATCGCCCGCAATCGTGTTAAGCGAACGTGTTTAGGAATATCTGCATCGTCGAGGATTCGTAATTATTCTTCGCCACGACGTTATTATACAGTCTTAAGTTTTTACCTTCTCTGGACTTCGTTCGGTCGAATCACTACCGGATATCGAACGTTGTTGTAATTTGCTCATCTCAAGGTCTCGAAGGCAGAGGGTTAACGCTATACGATAACGAGAAAATCGTTCTGCAGCAGCCAGTGGGTCACGACCTCCTTCCTCTTTCAATTCTCTGGAGGTCGATAACCTCATTCCTCGACGGAGCGCGCCAATTCCGTGACCTACCTTCTCGAGCGATATACCTATACCTCTGCACGCTCACACACACACACACACACACACACACACACACACACACACACACACACACACACACACATACACACACACACACACACACACACACACGCGTACAGCGCACACGTTCCTCCCCTTTTTATTTATCGCGAGCATTTGGGAATCAATATACACAGATGTGCCTTCACTTCCTTCGATCCGTAATTACGTAAATTGGACGATTGAGATTTCGCAGTTTTCTTCATTTTTTGCAACGCATGATAACGCATTTGTTTATAAGGATAACCCTTTTTAGTTTAGAAACAAGAATTTCAAACGTAGTGATATATTTCAGTCTTATCGCTACATTCAATTACTCATTGTAAAGTTAGCAGCAGTAATTGTTATATATTTTCCATTAACGCGTTGTCACGACACTAGATATCTATCAAAAGTCTATAGCGAATGTGCATACGATATCCGTGCCGGACTTGAAAGAATGCCTTCCACGGCTTAGAGGATTTATTTCTTTACATATTCTGCGATACGTTGCTACTGCTATGCACACAGTCATCCTTAATTATCTCATAAAAAGAGCTGTTTTCTAGGGTTTCGCGATAATAGCGTACGCGTAGTGTTAAACTCTTGCGTACGATTGACGGCAAGTAGAGAGTGGTGGCAGTGACCCATGACCTGGATCGAAAAGTGGGCGCCAGAAGGGCGTATATGCACACCCGGCGAGACCGAGGGTTGGAGTTAGGGTAGGACACCACCGAGAATCGATTTTCCCTCTTGGTGGGCTCTCTCCGCCCTCAGCGCGCAGGAAGGGAGAGAGGGTCCTGGCATAGAGAGAAGAGCGAGCGAGCGAGTGAGAGAAATGAGAATGAGTGTGAGGAGGGCACAGTGAGCAGAGAGACAGAGAGGAAGGGGGGAGAGAGAGAGAGAGACAGAGAGAGAGAGAGAGAGAGAGCCGTATGGGTGCGCGCGTTCGCGCATACAAGTGTGTTTGTATCTGTCGTACGATCGAACGGGAGAAAGAGAGTGTTCTCTCTCCGTAAGAGTTATAGAGGCGGCGATGTGTGTGCTATAGAGAAAAAGGGAGGATGAAGGCAAACAGGAGCACCAAAACGCGAAATGGCAGGAAAGAGGAAAAGAGAGGAAAAAAGAGCCTGGGAACGAGAGAGAGAGAGGGGGGGGAGGGCGAGAGAGGAGGTTCCCTTGGGCGCCCCCGATATTCCACCCTTTTTCAGCGTCCGCTTCCGTCCTCCATTGCGGCGTGTGCGCGCTATCGTCAGTGTGCTTCCTGTAGGGGATTCTGCGGCATCCTTCGTCCCGGTCTCAGACTCTGAGCGGTAACATTCCTCTTATCGGTGGAGAATGAAGAGAAGAGAAAGAGAGAGAAAGAGTGAGAGAGAGAGAGAGAGAGAGAGAGAGGGAGAGAGAGAGGATCGGCTCAACCCCGGCCAACCCAGGAACGTGGTTCGATCGAAAGAGGAAAGTTGACACTGTCGGAGGGCTCTGATAACAACGTTATTGGTCCGTAGTCTGGCGGTGCATTTAAGCGTTAGAAACAACCACCTGATTCCAAACTGTGTATTTAAAGCAGAAACAAAGTTACGAGTGATCGTCTTTCTTCCTACTTCTCCTTCTTCGTATCTCTTAGTTATATTTTCCTTCTTTCCCCTTTTGTTTTTAAACGAGAACGTTACGTTCGGGACCAGAATCGCGCGGGGCTGGTCAGTAAACACATAGCGAAAGCAATTTGGTAATTTTGTAACAGCTGGGATACACAGTGGTGACGACGAGATATACAGTCGTCGCGGTACGCTATCACAATTTGGACATGAAATCGATGCAAATGTGATAATACGGTTTATTATTATCCTCACGGTTTTACTCTAGCGTCGCAGATACGTGTGTAATATGATGATGCAGGCGGTATAGTATATAATGACGATATGCAACCGATATAATTATACAATATGTCATGTGATAAATATCATATCGCTAGGCAATAGTACTCGTGAGGTCGGTACAAATATAATACATGGTTTATTATTATCCCGCAATCTTACGTAGAAGGAGAGGGAAAGGGGGAAAGACAGAGAGAGAGAGAGAGAGAGAAATGTGTGTGTACATGCAATATGATATCGATATGTTACAACACGATGCTAATATGCAATGTGACGACGTCATGGACATGTTTACAATATGATTTATCGTCCCGTAATAATACACTTTATCGTTCCCTCAAAACGAAATTGCGTCCCGCCGAAAAGGTTTGTTTTTAATGAAATGGAAGTTTTTTGTGTTGCTCCGGATTATTCTTCTGAATGAAACGATAATCGTCAAAGTATAGAAGTGGTAAAGAATACTTTGCGCGCGATGCGTTTCAAATACGTTTCCCGGAGAGTGGCTCTCTCTCTCTCTCTCTCTCTCTCTTTTGTTATCACTATTGCATGCCTCTCCCTGAAAACGCGCCGCAGAAATCCTGTCTAAATGAGCTTACGTCCAAAATTTTCTCATTAGGAGTGCTCGATTACACAGTCGATGAGTTTTTTATCTTTTAATTTCAATTATACTCAATTGGTTGCCGTTGCGCTTGAACTTGACGCAAGGCACTGCCGTGCCTCTTGATATTTGACACGCAAGGATATTTGGACCAAGCAGATTTGGTGTTAGCTTTTTTCAAACTAGTACTTCTATCTTTCTAGTGACATCTTTTTTCTATCTTTGTAAATTCCCAAGATATAAAGAGAATTAAATTGAGAAACTTGAAGTACATTTTGAAACACACGTGTAACTTTGAAGCACATGTAAAATGCTGTGATATGGTAGACACCTTTTATGCGCTTTGCAAGAAAATAAACCTGAATAATATTGATGAAAAATTTCATGACGATGTGTGTGCGTGTGTGTGCGTGCGTGCGTGCGTGCGTGCATGCGTGCGTGCGTGCGTGCGTGCGTGCGTGCGTGTGTGTGTGTGTGTGTGTGTGTGTGTGTGTGTGTGTGTGTGTGTGTGTGTGTGTGTGTGTGTGTGTGTGCGCGCGCGCGCGCGCGCGCGTTACATTACGCTGTGATTCATTTCGTGTATCTTCGTCCAAAAAATATCTCGATTCTTGTAATGTAAATTCTCTACCCTAAAAGTGTGACGTTACCTTAAATTCCGGAACACATCTCAAATTTCCGTAAGAAATCCGGTACAATTCCGTACACGTCGCAAACGAGACCATTTTATAATCTTTACAACACGTGCAAAATTTCACGATGTATGCTACCAAATTTTGACACACATCATTTTATCAGTATAAGCGCGCAATCTCTCGAATCGCGATTATTTGTGTTTGAAAGCGCGCAGGAGCTTGACTAGCTCCGAAAATTTGATTCACATTTACATCACACAAAAGAGACACGTTTCGATCACACACGGACGTGTGGAATGGCTCTCACGATAACGATGTGGTTGATTGACGCGATGATTGTTGTTATCGCAAATGCCTCACATTGATCGAAACTAACTCAACTTGATTTTTACGAGTTCGCGTTGCTATGTTGTTGAATGTACAGATATTTTCTTATCTCGCGACGTGACTTCCATTCGAATTGAAGAATCTGTAAAACGGCACCATTGTAAGATGATTGGATGGTGTCTTGAGAAATAGTCACGAATATCGTTGACATCGTTGCGCAAAATTGTCGAAAAGATATCTTGGGGAAAAATACGCACACGATACATTTTTATCGGCGAGTGAGCAGTGCACGTCTGTGGAGAAATATTCAAAGAAGAAAAAAAAATGGAACCTTGAGAGTAATTTGCGTGCAAATATCCAGAAGAATTGCCTCTCGGAAAATTTCACCGAGCGACAGTCACTCATACAGATGATGACGCCGCTAATCTTCATTGTTTTTCTTTTCTCTTTCAGTTTTCTAGATAAGGTAGCCATCGTAAAACAGCCGGATTACACACCCACAGAACAGGTGATTATATTATTGTCCCTTTCATTGACGAGTAGTCGATACTGTTCTAACTCGATCGGATTTCCCCCTCTGTAGACGCGCGCACGGCAACGAGCTCTCGTTTATTCGCGACAACGAAGATGACGCGATTCATGTTGAGTGACCGACCGACCGACCGACCGACCGATCGGTCGATCGGTCGATCGGTCGGTCGGTCGGTCGGTCGGTCGGTCGCGAATGCGCGGCGGGAAATTTTCAACGGAATGACGGATTCGTACGGGACGCGCGCGTGCGTGCGTCTCTGTGTAACGTGCTATATTTTGTTTCAGGATATCCTGAGGTGTCGAGTCCTCACGTCCGGCATTTTTGAGACGCGGTTTCAGGTCGACAAAGTAAACTTTCAGTAAGTCCTACGCGACTCGCGCGCTTAACTCCAATGTCGTGCGACTATATATAGCCGACGTATATTACAGTAACATCGGCCGACGGTAAATATAAACGCACGACGCGGGCGGCGGCGCGCATCTCTGTACAGGCGGCCGCCTGTATGTTATACAGCCGCCTGCCGGCGCGGCGACTTGCACTGTACAACGTATAAGCTGAAATCCGTTAACCGCGTTAACGCCTCCGCAACTTTATAACATTTTCCCTCTTTGCGTTCGCTCGCAGGTCACGTACGACGCTCCACATTATTTTCTATATAGGCCCGACTCTTTGTCGCTCTTTGTCCCTACGCTACGCGGCGGCCGGCGCGTGTAATTTGATATTTGTCGATCCTTGGAGGCTATGTTGCAAACTGAATAGTCACGCGAGTCGATTCCTAAGAGAGAAGCGGCTTAGATATCTCAGCGGGTCCCTCCGTATCTTCTTTTTGCAGTATGTTCGACGTCGGTGGTCAACGTGATGAGAGGAGAAAATGGATACAATGCTTCAACGACGTTACGGCAATTATATTTGTCACGGCGTGTAGTAGTTACAATATGGTACTCAGGGAGGACCCTACGAAGCTGAGACTCAGAGAGAGTCTCGATCTCTTCAAAAGTATTTGGAACAATCGGTAATGTCGTGCGCGCGCGCGCGCGCTAGGGCGCTAGCCCTTTTATCTCGTATCTCGTATTCTTTGCCAGTGTACCAGCGTCCCTTTCTTCCCATAGATGGCTCCGCACGATTTCTGTGATCCTATTTCTGAACAAGCAAGATCTGCTGGCGGAAAAAGTCAAGGCGGGTAAACATAAATTGGAGGATTACTTTCCGGAATTCGCACGTTACCAGACACCGGTGGAGCCTGGAGTAGTCGCGGATCCCACGGAACCTCCTGATGTCATAAGGGCCAAGTACTTCATCAGAGACGAGTTTCTCGTAAGTACACTAATCATGCGTGTCACATTACTTCACAATCGCATCGATTAACTTAAATTTATTCACACGCTGCAGCTGTGTGTGATATTTCGGCTTTCTTCTCCTCCTTCATTTCTCTTTTCATTTCGCAGCGCATTAGCACGGCGAGCGGTGACGGCAAGCACTACTGTTACCCGCACTTCACGTGCGCCGTTGACACGGAGAATATCAAGAGAGTGTTCAACGATTGTCGGGACATTATTCAACGGATGCACCTGCGTCAGTATGAGCTCTTGTGACTTCGTTTCTGCCGACGTGTCCTGTCATCCGTTCGCCTGACCATCACGCTCGTGCTGCATTTGGAGCTACTGCGAGCCGAATGAGCCAGCCGCAACAATGAAGAAGTAGGTAACCGCGCGAGGACTCGCGAGCCCGCGCCGTGTCGCGAGGGCGTACGGAGCGAGTAACGTGCGCGGTGGTGGGCTTCTCCTCCTCCTCCTCCTCCTCCTCCTCCTCCTCCTCCTCCTCCTCCTCCTCCTCCTCCTCCTCCTCCTCCTCCTCCTCCTCCTCCTCCTCCTCCTCCTCCTTTTCTTCCTTCTCCTCCTCCCTCCTTCTCCTCCTTTGCTCAGAAGTCCAGAGAACCCAGCCGATATGTCACAGCCAGAGGAGCCGCGAGCCGCGTCCAAGACTCTCACGCCAACGGACAGTAGCAATTGCAAATCGATCGCGTTTCTCCTCGATGGCGTGATCTGAGGAGATCGCGATATACGCGTTCCGCTTCGCGATCATGTGGACGGAAACGAAGGCGGCCCCTCCGGGCGTATTCTCGATCGCTCGACTCTGCTTTGAGTTGTAGGTGAAAGAGTGTGCTGAACGGTCCAGCGAACATCGACGGGAATAAAAACTCTCGTCGTCGTCGTCGTCGTCGTCGTCGTCGTCGTCGTCGTCGTCGTCGTCGTCGTCGTCGTCGTCGTCGTCGTCGTCGTCGTCGTCGTCGTCGTCGTCGTCGTCGTCGTCGTCGTCGTCGTCGTCGTCGTCGTCGTCGTCGTCGTCGTCGTCGTCGTCGTCGTCGTCGTCGTCGTCGTCGTCGTCGTCGTCGTCGTTCGTCGTCGTCGTCGTCGTCGTCGTCGTCGTCGTCGTCGTCGTCGTCGTCGTCGTCGTCGTCGTCGTCGTCGTCGTCGTCGTCGTCGTCGTCGTCGTCGTCGTCGTCGTCGTCGTCGTCGTCGTCGTCGTCGTCGTCGTCGTCGTCGTCGTCGTCGTCGTCGTCGTCGTCGTCGTCGTCGTCGTCGTCGTCGTCGTCGTCGTCGTCGTCGTCGTCGTCGTCGTCGTCGTCGTCGTCGTCGTCGTCGTCGTCGTCGTCGTCGTCGTCGTCGTCGTCGTCGTCGTCGTCGTCGTCGTCGTCGTCGTCCGTCGTCGTCGTCGTCCGTCGTCGTCGTCGTCGTCGTCCGTCGTCGTCGTCCGTCGTCGTCCGTCGTCGTCGTCGTCCGTCGTCGTCGTCGTCGTCCGTCGCCTCGTCGTCCGTCGTCTCGTCGTCGTCGTCCGTCGTCGTCGTCGTCGTCGGTCCGTCGTCGTCGTCGTCGTCGTCGTCGTCGTCCGTCGTCGTCGTCGTCGTCGTCCGTCGTCGTCGTCGTCGTCGCGTCGTCCGTCGTCGTCGCGTCGTCGTCGTCCGTCGTCGTCGTCGGTCGTCGTCGCGGCGGCTCGGCCCCGCGTCTCGTCGTCGTCTCGTTGTTCTGTCGACGTCCGCGCTCCGTCTCGTCGTCGTCGTCGTCGTCGTCGTCGTCGTCGTCGTCGTCGTCGTCGTCGTCGTCCGTCGTCGTCGTCGTCGTCGTCCGTCGTCGTCGTCGTCGTCGTCCGTCGTCGTCGTCGTCGTCGTCGTCGTCGTCGTCGTCGTCGTCGTCGTCGTCGTCGTCGTCGTCGTCGTCGTCGTCGTCGTCCGTCGTCGTCGTCGTCCGTCGTCGTCCGTCGTCGTCGTCGTCGTCGTCGTCGTCGTCGTCGTCGTCGTCGTCGTCGTCGTCGTCGTCGTCGTCGTCGTCCGTCGTCGTCGTCGTCGTCGTCGTCGTCGTCGTCGTCGTCGGTCGTCGTCGTCGTCGTCGTCGTCGTCGTCGTCGTCGTCGTCGTCGTCGTCGTCGTCGTCGTCGTCGTCGTCGTCGTCGTCGTCGTCGTCGTCGTCGTCGTCGTCGTCGTCGTCGTCGGTGTCGTCGGTGTCGTCGGTGTGTGAAAAGAAGAAGAACAATTTGGTTTATTTGATTCCTGTCGCGCGCACACGAACACGAATTCCGATTCGCGATTTGGGCCAACGTCGTCGTCGTCGTCGTTGGATACGACGCATTTTCGACGGGTTCGAGTAACGGTCCTCTTGTTCAACACACTCTTGACGTGAATTATTATTGTTCAGATTAGCGTTTAAGAATGTTTCCTAAAATTTAGAGACAAACCTCTCCGGTAAAGAAAGAAAAAAAAAGAAAAACAAGAAGATAAACTTTTATCGTTTGACTTTCCCCTTACTCGTTTTCGAATCTCTCTACTTTTGCCTTGCTCCTTCTTATATCTCGCTTAGAATCTCCGCGTCTCTGATTTCCCTAGCTTCGCTTTCGTTCGACAATTCGTTGACTTCTCGACTTCCGAATCTCGATTCTTCATTATATTGGCCCGACCTGTAGGAGTCTCAGCCGCGCCCTTTTTACAAGAAGAGTATTTTGTGAGATTTTACAGTATTTCGAAGAGCGTTTTAATTATATAACTATGTATCTCAAGTATGTACAGGGTGACCGTCCATGGATTCTCATGTTTTTACGTACGTTTCTTACGACCGAGGTCTCTCACGGATATGGATTCCCCGCCCCCCCCCTTTTTTTTTTTTTTTACCGATATATCGTACGTCGAGTTGTTTTAGTTTATTGTACTTAGGCACGCGCGCGCGCTATCTTGCAATATCAATCGACTATAATGTTTTATCTTAGCCCACGTAACAAATGTGCCACGTTCAAGTTATTCGTTTCTCTCTCTTTTTTCTTTTTTTTTTTTCCTCGCACGCATCTGATTTCATGTATACGTTGCACATATACTACACTTTTAAGCTTTTGCGCGAGTACATAAAATTGCGTTAATTTCCCCCATTGCCGATTCTCATTGTATTCGTTGAACGTGTGAACCGCAGCTCACTTTCGGAGAAATCGTCGCGCCCTGATGATAACGCGTGTACAAATTTTTACGAGAGTACGTGCCCAGTAGAGAGTCAATCAATCACTCACTCACGCACGTGGTGGTGGAGCATTTCTACGATAAATATTCCGAAACAAAAAGAATCAATGTGCGAGAATCTTACCTCGTATATCGCACCTTGTCGCATCCCATAGCTGCATCCATTTTCCTCGTCGTCGCTATTTGAATATCTTGTATATGGTGCTTCTCAACTTTGAAATTTTTTTCCTTCAAATTTTATTACTCTCTTGATTATACTCTCTTGATTAATCGTTACGTTACGTTGTTACAACGGGATTCTTGTGCACGCAATGACGTATACATGACGTAGATCTCAATATCTCAGCATAGCCGTGAGCGAACGAAGATAGCCCCCTAAGCGACAGTTACTACTCCAATCTTCTTTCTAACGAAACACGGATATCAAGTGTCTTTCTTGTTTACTTATCAAATTATTACGCATGTCTGAAACAGTGACTATGCGTGACAGTTTTACAAGAATAGAAGAGGAACCTATTTTCGGCGGCGTATATCAAGCTTTTGCAAATCTGCTATGTGCGTTGAGAAAAGATTGGTTACTCGTTGTTGCGCTAGGAAACATCCTAAAAAAAAAAACAACGCACGACTGTAGATTTGTTCGACAGAGGAGCGAGGAGATTTCAATAAACACGTGAACGTAAGAACATTATCTTGCCATCCACCGGCATTGACCTCATTTTATAAGAACATCAAGGGAATACTCGATTTCTATATGTGTGTACATCAGTTGCACGATCGCGTACAGACTGCTTCGAGAGATTATACGCGTGTGCGTGCACGATACGTATGTCGCTGCTACTGTCTTGCACATTCGTATACTCACTCGTATGTAAAAGCGGTCGTACACGTCCCAGAGAGACAAGAATCCCGTAAGCCACATGCATATAACCGCGTACCCTGTTCTGCACGCGCGGAGAGAATTTTTTCTGGAAGATGTTAACATTCGCACACATTGTGCACACACACACATATTGAGAAAATAAGGTAAAAACACCAGTACCCAATTCTGAACATTTTTATTATTTTTATGGTTTTTAAATACAAATATTTTACATTTTCAACATACAATATATATATATATGTGTGTGTGTGTGTGTGTGTGTGTGTGTGTGTGTGTGTGTGTGTGTGTGTGTGTGTGTGTGTGTGTGTGTGTGTATGTGTATATATATATATATATATATCTTTTTTTACGTTGATAGTTTAAATATCTGAATTTAAAGACCAAAACAATAAGAATGTCCATAGTTAGATGCACGCTTCACGAATGGTACTTTTACCTTACCGTATTAGCTTATTCGGCTAGGATATACTCATATTATTCGAATATTATTTGTCCGAAGGTAATTTGGGAAATTGCGTTTTATATACATCTGATATAAATTTTAAAACGATATCCAAATAAAAATTATCAATTAATTGTTGTAATACATAAATTTGGATATTGGTATGAATATATCCCAGTCGCGCGGTACACTATGATATGTTGTTCAATAAAAATTTTCTCCATGCCCCATGCACCCTATACGTTGCTGCTCGTTTGATATCCGTTTATCCACTGGACTCGCTGCGAGTGTCGAGGTGATTTTTGCGTAGGTAAATGAAATGAGAATCTCGAATCTCGATGGATGACTAAAGTAAAGGAATTAGGATTATATGAATAGGTGCGAGAGATTCCGAGACCGATAGGTTTCATGTCGTGATAAACCTATACACACAGCCGCCGCGTTATTCCCATTCCTCTCGGTTAATCATTTGCGTCGATCAACTTGGTGATGTCACTCGTTTATTTCACCGGCACATCCAAGCGAATACAATCTTTCATGTCGCAACAATCGGATCGCACAATCGAGAAATGGCCATGTCCGACCTCGTGTTTGATTTACAAAGTCGTTGTTGAAGTTAAGTATCGCGTTTTTATGAGTAATCATAAATCACAACTTTGCTTTCATCCGGCAATTTTTTATTTTTTACTCGATAATACGTAATTATGTTTCGTCCGGTCGATCTAAACCAGCGTCACGCGCGCGACTCTTCATATTCGTTTCAACCATAATTTGACGAGAATAGGAATTTCGAGCGTTACATAATAGGTAACCACTACACATGCCGACGCGTATCCATAATTAACTGTAACTTCGTATAATATCAATGTACGTGTACCTACATGGAGCGCTACGAACGAGTCGATCTCGAACAGTATGGCAGAACAAAATTTCTCTCTCTCTCTCTCTCTCTCTCTCTTTCCCCCCCCTTCTCTCTCCCTCTCACTTACTCACTCATTCT